CTTCAGGACTCTTTCCCACTCAAGCCCTTACCAGGGCATTTTTTTAGCGACTTACGGTAATCTACATATATATATATATATATATATATATATATATTTCTCATTGACGGGCTTGAGGACTCTCCGCTCTTTGTTTGCCAAGACTCACCCCTCAAGGATTGCACTGCTCATTGGGTAGGCTACCAGACTTTCCTCAGATTAGATTTTTAACCCAGCCTCTGTTTAATCCACCAACTCCCTTTCCCCAAGGTTTAAGGTTACTTCAAACCACCACCCTCTCGATTCGAGTCCGAGGTAGTGCGTAGGGCTGACTTAGTCCTCTTTTCAACATATAAACAGTTCACACTTCGCCCCATGTAGTAATAAGATGAATCAATTTAACCATTTGCACATACAGATTATAGAATTAAGTTCAAGTCATTAAACTTCACCTAAGACCTCACATAAACGGCATACTACCACTCAAAAGGTGTTGAGACAACTAGAAAAGATTAAGTTAAATCAGAACATGGATCAGGCATTTTCAATTCAAACGCATCATCATTGACTACAGATAGCCATATTTTTTTTGTTTTATGATTTTTTGATTTTTTTTCGGATTACAAAAGTAAACATGAAATACAACTAAACCTAGTAATAAACAAAGCATAACAAAAGAAATAAAACACACTGGCACTTTCATAAAGTCTCAAGACACTCACCCAAACTTAAAAGAAACCTCAATGCTTGAAATAAAAAGAAGGAAGGGAGCTTTTGTGGAGTGACGAGCTAAGGTGGTGGCGGTATGGGAGTTTAAGGCTGCTTCTCTTCTTCAATCAGAGCTTTATAGGCAGTAGGCTGACTACTTGTCACTCTTTGTGCAGAAGCATGACCCTTCATGATCCTTCTTCGACAACCTTTTCCTCCAAGGAAACACTAACGAAGAGTGATCCGTGTGAAAAGAAAACAATCAAATAAAACTTCTAAAAGAAAAATTAGAAAATTAAAAAAAGAAAGTAAAATTGCTTGGGTTGCATCCCAAGAAGCGCCTGTGCACTACAACAAAACATAAAAGGGTATCATTATAGTGATCAATTAAGTGATTATTACGGAACTTTGTCGGAAATTGTGGAGTTAGAGTATCCCGCGCTTCCTATCAAACGTGTTGTTTTGTTTAAGTGCCATTGGTATGATATAACCCCAAATTGGGGGAGGGGGGGGGGAAGGGGTAAAGGTTCATAAAGACTGCATACATGTTGATATAAAACATGGAAGAAGGTTGCGCAAGTATGAACCTTTTGTATTGGCTTCTCAAGCATCGCAAGAACACTACACGTCCAATCCAAGCATGAAGAGAGATAAAGCTAATTGGTGGGCTGTTTGTAAATCAAGCCTAGATTTGATTTTGATGTTCCTGCAGTAGACACACCTTTCCAATATGACGAAGTGGAGAATCATGCATTCGATGCCATTGATCCTCTTTTTACACCTTTAAATGATGCAAGTGAGGTTTTTGTTTAAAGATAAACATGATGTTGACAGTTCAATAGAGATTGGAAATGATGAAGATGATAACTGACTATCAACAGGGATTATATCCTTTTTTTTTTCTGCTTTGTGATTCTGTTTATGCAGCTCCTTAACTGGTGAGAGTCAGTTGTGATTCTGATTATGCAGTGTACTCCGTATCTATTTGTATAACATGGTTCTCTTTTATTTGTTATTTAAATTGATCAATTGAACTACATAAGTAATTGATTGGACATGGATACTTGCAGATATGGTGAGAATTCAGGAGAGAGATGGTACTACAAATAAGTCCAAACAAAAAGGTTCAGTCTCCAACAAAGGGAAAAGCTACGGTAACTCTCAGTCGCGGCCAACGTCCAAGAACCATAAAGTCACTTCTGTTTTCCGATATTGTTCCTGTAAGTCAGGAGGTCGAAACTCCAGGAACTTCCAATCTGAACCCTGCAGCTACAAATCAGACTTTGCCCATTCTTGAGCATGATGCAAGTATGAACCGAAAGGTTCTAAAAACAAGAAATTCAACACATCACTCAAGGAGAAATCATAACTCTGAACAGATCTGGGGTAATGACTCCAGTCGACAGCCAGTTGAACAACTCCGAGCAGAAAACCAGGTTGAAAGTTATAGGAGAAAAGAATAGAACTGACGTTGCAGGATAAAAGCAGGTTCATAAAGTTGCAACTGGAAAGCATGTTCATAACCAGGTTCAGTTAACAAGGATGTCAACACGTTAGTGCAAAGTGATTGAGGCTACTACAGTTCATAATGGACACCCTGCAACCAGTTCAAGTAAAATTCAGGTTTCACAAAGCCAGAGTCTAGAAAATCAGGCCATTTCGTTGCTGTTAAGGAAAAATTCTGAAAACATTTCAAAGGAAGCTACTTCAAATCATGATGAAGACAATGTAGGAAATTCAACTCAGCAGCATGCATCAAGAAATTAGGGTTCGGGATCTAATTGCAATCTGAATCACACTCCAAGTACAGACCATCAATCTACAACAAATGCATCTAAGTCACTGTCCAACCAGGGTACCATAAAGACCAGCTCATCACGAGGAACTGCTTCATTTCCAAATGAATAAAATGCATCAAATGCAGCAGACCGTAGCATTGATCGTAGCCTGAACAACACTCAGGTCAATAATTCCAACCCGAGGAACAATCCGGATCATTATATTCCTATTTCAAGCCCAACTGAGCTCGTAGATAGAAACAATCAGTCCCCTGGTACTTCAGATAGTTGCAGTTTGAACTTAGCAAAAATCTACAGCAACAGAGATATATGCAGTCGAGAAAACGTAAGTGTTTGTACATCTGTTTTATCAAGTATTATATGTAATTATAGATCTTGATCACTTTTTTCTTTTAGATGCAATAGGTTAAGCTTGCAGAGTATCTGTTCATGAAAAATTTGAAGTTGTTCAAAGACAGGTTAGAAGTCGGAGCATACTCTTGGTCAAAAGTAAGCCTAGAAACGACATATTTCTATTGAAATGAGTTCAAGGTAAGTATTCTATGCGTGCTGCTAATTGTGTTAATTGGGACTTTCTGTAAACTATTTATGGACATTAGAGTTGATAATGCTAATATTGTACCAAATAATTGCTTTAAATGAAAACTATATGAAGATCGTATCATTACTGATTGGTATAGTAGGGGATTGTTTATATAGTATATAGATAATATACTTGTATTAGATTTTTGTAGAAATCTTTTACATGGGATTCTGAATCGGAACACCAGATCAAGGAGGCATGGGAATCATTATCGGCAGAACGTTACCGTGACCTCACAAGAGACTTGAGAGAATGGGATGAAAAACTATTTTTTGTTTAGGAGGACGTGTGGTTGAGCTTGACAAATCATTGGCAAAATGAGGATTTTCTAAAGGTTGGAAGAAGGAATTCTAGAAATCGTTGCAGCCCCAAGGGACCAGTTTCTCACACTGGAGGTTCAGTCTCATTCATTGAGCATGCTGCCCGACTTGTAAGTTTTTTATTCATAACACTAATGAGTTTATATGTTAACTTGAATATCTATTTCTTATCAAACTTAATGGGTTAATAGATTGCTAATTTTATTTCTTTGTAAATGGCATTGTTTGCAGGCATGTACCCTAGGTCGAAAGCCTACTCCGTATGAAGTATTTGCATTTACTCATACGAGGAATCATGATTTCAAGAATATTATCGATTCTATGTTTGAGATGTTGATGTAAGTTTTGAAACTGGTACTGTGTAGTATATATCCAATATAATGTCCAGATTTTGACTGTTCTTCATGCTTTCTTCTGCTATGTACTTGGAGTTATGGTATGACTGGATTGTTTGATGATCTCCTGAATATTCTAAAATGGTGATGATTATTACTACCATAATTTCTGGCTGACGTTGAATTGTTCCAATTCAACTTTGAGTATTGATTGTGGCTTCTTTTGTGTGCATTGCATGATTGTAGGAGAAATATGTTGATTTGCGAAACAAGGTAATTCAGGCTGCTGCTAAGACGGGGTCTGACCGTTCACTTAATGAAGATGCACTTTATTATGAAGTTTCTGGAGGTGAGAAGAATAAAAAGATCTACAGTCTTCGCTCTCAAGCAACTTGCTATTTTCATTTGATTGGCAAAAAGTCGAGGCATACAACTGCAGACATAAGGTAGACTTGCAATGAACAAGTGAAGGAGTACCATCGAGCTTTTTTGTAAACAGAATGGTCTTCAATTGCCCGATTTTGATGATGATGATGAGTCTCTCCAAGGGTCAAAAGGTATGGAAAATGGTCCGAGTTCAAATGCTTCTCATTCTAAGAACAATCCAGTCGATGATGATGATGACCTGAATTTTGGTTTAAGGTTTCCATTTATGATCTAGGTAGTTGTTCAGTGTATTACTTTGGTTGTGGTACAATCAATATAGTAAAGATTAAATTTTATGTTAGTGTTGTGGTAGAATCTGGAGGTTATGTAAGATGATCACTTTGAATATTTTATGCAATTTCTTTTTTAGAGCTATGTGTCATTTTGAGTATTGTTTGGTGCTGAAAATCACAAGGAATACCCAAACAAAATAAAAAGAAAATTCGTGGGATCTTCACCCTTCTTGGAAGAGGAAATGTGATACTGAACTGACCAACGGCGTAGATCCGACGCAATGCCGTGACGAACCATAGTAACTTGGCCAACATGACCCTCACTGACATCTACAACCCTTTAACGTGCAGACTCCTCTCATAATCCAAGGATACTACAAATTAGAGAAATTAATTAATTAAAAACCCAATCTGCTACATTAATTTCTGTTTAAGAATTATGTGGCATTCTCCATTTGGGTCATTTACAAAAATTGAATGGTAAAGGAATTAAATAATTTAACTTACTCAATCATGCAACACTCTCGTAGAGGACCTTGATCTTAACGTAATACATTTGATAAAATTCACAACAAACACCGGTCTTGGCTCTGCGTTAGCATGGCTCCCTATCCCATTTATATGAATGGATAAAAGACTAGCACATGTTGTGGTTGTTGAGGTTGCGCCTGTTGTTGCATTGGTGGTGGTGCCACTGCTGCCACCAATTCATTGTTACTGGTTGCACCTACAACATCATTAGTGTTAGCATAACCGACACTAGCACCACTAGCTGGAACAATACTACTATTGGCAGAAGTTTCATTCTCCATAGAATTGAGCTGATAAAAGCAGGTATGAAGTGTACAAATAACCAACTACGTCCCCAATGCTTTGACGTTCTGATAGAGGTATATTTGGTTAAGGTTCACTCTTTGCTTGCACTCAAGAAATGCATATGACAAGTGTCTTAGTTGATTGACTAGAGTTATTGTCATGTCGGTGAAGAGGTTGATGTTGACATCTTCTTCAACCAATTGCCTTTTCCCCATTGAAATCAATATGAGATATTTGGTTATGGTTTTTCGGATGTACTACACATGTAAGGGTTGGCCCAGGAGTATTGGTAGGACCTGACACCATAAAACAAAAACAAAGCAAAACAAGAGTTTTTGAGTTATTTTCTATGCAGAAGTAAAATTAAATGACATGACTATGCATGAGTATTGATGTTTATTGCAAAGTTATTCTTGCAAACATTACACACTCCAATTTTTTAATAAAAACTTGAGCGATTTCAATAGTGAAAAAAATAACCAGCTTAAAGATCAAATAATTAACATCTTCGTTATTCACAAAAGTAATATAAATTAATTAATTACATTAGTATGACTTCTATTTATATGAAGTAGAAAGTGTACCAGTGTGTTCATTCAATCAGTAGGAAAAATGTAAAAGTGAGTTCTGAAAACACTTTGTAGAATCCGAATTCATCTATGAAACTTCTTCTAGTACTTATAAGACTAATTTTTTTTCTCCTGTATTTAGCACACACACATACAGAGATGAACACTGTGGAACGATGTATCGAAGCAACTTAATAAACTCTGAAGAGTTGTATCACAAATATCGAGTATGAGAATCAACGAAGCACATGAAAATTTTCAGACAACATTCCCAATTCCCAATGATATTGTTTTGTGAGAACATGTTATTGTCTTTTGTTGAGACTTGAGAGTGTTAGCATACATATCTTTGTAATAAAGACCCTCAGAGTTTATTCAGCTCGATACATTGTTAGATCATGTATAGTTATTTCTATTTCCTACAAATGGGTATCAACACTCAATTAGAGTTCTACAAAGAGTATACAATATGTTCACATTTTATTTGTGTCGAATTGTGTTTCTTTAAGTCTAGAAAACAGTAATTTGATTATATATACATGTATATATAATCAAATATATATGTATATAATATATATATATATATATATATTATATGAAGGTTCGATTAGTGCAAAGAGTGACAGTGATATATCATTTCTTCTAAAAAGTAAAACTTTCAACAACTTACTGTCATTGCCTCAGATGCCAGTAATGGCAACATGGAAAAGATGATGAATCTTACTAGCACTGATGTCAAGCTGTCAAAGCTCCCAAGAGGAGAGATACACCTAAAGTAATAGCAACACTTCCAGTTAAAGATAGCAACAATTTCAAGACTGTATACCGACAAACCCATCAAAATTTTTAATTGAAAAGTAGAAAAGAATAAAGTGAAATTTGCAGTCTTAAATATAAGAAAACTAGCCACGCTCATAGTGACTAGTAACATCTTACAAATTTTTAAAAAGTGAAAAATAAATAAATTAAAAAAAAACTTGAAAAGCTTGAACTAAAATGTAAGTAGAAAGAGAAGTAGCCGGCTATTCCAAAGCTATGGGAGGTGATGATTGAAGCCTACTAGTACTGCCTTATTAGTAATCTTTTCTTAACCAAAAAAATCCAAGAAAAAAGGGACTAAAATATTAAATCTCAAATAAGCTCGTATGTATCCAAATAGATGTAGCTGTTACTATAAATCTTTTACCAAATGAATCAAGTCTTCTAAATTCTATCTCTATAAAACTTCATAAATAGCTGTAGAAATCCAAAACAACCAATTTTTCACTTTTCTCTACCTACAACAAAATAAGAATAAAATCTATGAAAATCTTAAAAATATGTTCAAAACATAACCATTAAAAGTATAATAAAATGGATTTTGCAAAAACTTGCTGCATCTTTCACATGCATTCATGTTAATAGTCACTGCACAAATTTTTGCATCTTTAAAATGACTTTTTACTCTATAGAGAAAAAATAATATCCCAAAATATAGCTATCGTACCTTTAACATTTTATTTATAAACCAAAATCATAACAAACAAATTGTAAACTACTAACTAAAAAATTTGAAGAAAAATTTTCAAGCTACATCACAACTTACAAGCCTTGCATCTTTGTTAAAGTTAGTAGAAGGGAGGTGCGGGATGAGGATATGCAAAATATGGCTTACTCCATAATGCAATGGAAGAACTCCTTTATAAATTAAAAATAATATTATGGGTGCTATTTTCAAAAAAAATCATAACAAAACCAAATTCAACACATATGTAAAACTCTCAAATTTTCTGTCAAAAACAAACCAAATAGAGCTTAAGAACAAATATCCATACCAATTGAGAACCCCAAATAGAATTAATATAACAGACAATTACAATCATGAAAAAATTCAGACAAGACTGCGATTTTCTTGAGTCAAAACTTTAGCTAAATTCATGAAGGGAAAAGAAGGTGAATAATGTATTTGTTGGTAACATCGGCAAATGATGCAAAGGAGAATCTTTGGGATTCCCTCAAGTTAAAATGTTAAAGATGATGCATAGATGAAAGAAGAGGAAAAATGAGGCTTGTTATCAAATGGTTACCGGATGAGTTTATCGAGTGCATGACTCTTTGTGCACGCGCATGTGTTTCTATCATCATCATTCAACCGGTGGACTATTTTGAGTCTTTCGATTTGTATCATTTGATTGATCTTGGTTTACATATTATTCTTCATATTGCAAAAGAGACTTTAACTTTTTTTCAATGGCAAAACTAATCGTAGGAGTTCTATTATTTCTTTTTCTATTTTTTCCCTTTGAAGAATTATAATTAGGTGGTAAAGCATACAACCGATACATCATTGAAATTCAAGTCAAATAATCATTTATCGTGGAATATTAAAGATGATCGTAGTGAAGAAACTGATCTAAAGGTGTCAATTTCTTTAGAAAATACAAATGTCTTAAAAAATTTTGCTCAATTTGTTCCAAAATGATTGTCATATTTGTTCTATTGAAATAATATGCGAATTCACATCTAGCAGTTCATTTGATCGCAATTGCACATCAATCTTCCTTTTCAGGCATCATCAGTGGGTCTTCCACATCTACTTATGCAATTACACTTGTGAAGTAATATGTTCCCGTGTTAGTTTTGTCATTTCCTTTCAGTATGTATTGGAAAACATTGTTATTTGTCTATTTTGGACCCTCTTACCTCAAGCTAGTTCTTTGGAGCCAATCTTTTGTTTGATTGCGCCTTGTGGATCATGTACGATTTGGGTTGGATGGTTTTTGCATCATGACTATTGACCATCAAAGACACATTTAGTTCTGAAAGATTATTCTGAATATTTGATGTGCTTATGATGCCAATTGAATTTAATCTTTCTAACTACTGGTTTTGATGAAATTTTTAATTTCGGGATCTATATATACATTGTGTGGCAAGTTTGGCTCTGTATTTTTTTTTTTAAGTAACACTCTCTGTAATATTTTGATTGTATTTTAGCTTGTTCTCAGTATATGTACTTAATATAGTTCAATTGAAAGTGTTTTGTTAGTGCAAATTATGTGTTGAAGATGTTTTTGTTCATTTCTTATTTATCATTTTACTATTTGTCATATTCGAGTAATATATTTGTTAATGGAATCAAATCCCTACTTTGCAAATCCCCACCTTTTACTCAAGCATTTTTCAGTCTTGTGGATTTGGCAGTGAACCTTCCTCATTTAGCGGTTTGTCTTAAAGACCTTCTCTTCATGGTATTAGTGTTTTCAAGTTCATTGTTGGGCTCAATATTGCGAATGTATTCCTAATAAGTAAAGGTATGCAATTTTTCTTGGAAGGTTGTTGTTGTCTTCATGTTCATTGTTGGGCTCTTTGAAGAAATTGGCATTATAGTTTGGAAAGGAGATAGATCAAAGTTTTTTATGTGTAGAAAGTTTGATAATTAAAATACTCTTGCTATTTAGAACATTATGTTGATGACGGCTACGGTTATGATAACTATTGAGGAAGACCGTCTCAATTCATCCAAGAATGTCCAGACAAGGATAAGGTGGATGATAGAGAAGCATTGATATACTACCAGACCTTCCTTACTTTGCTAAGAAGTCACATATTGTTATGTTTTTTGACAGATTTTAATCTCGTAATGGAGAAAGTACTAGATAAGACACTTGCATTTGCTGCATCCGAGGACTAAGAAAGCTATATAAAGGGACAAAATTTGACAAGAATAGGTTATGGAGCCTTGCCCACAACACTAGATCAAACCCCACAGATGGAGTCAAGATCAAAATAGTTTTTGCTTTTCCTTGTATTGATCATCAGGTGATGACCTTTTCTTTCAACTCTTTGTGAAAAACTAATAAATGTTTTGTTCGATGGTGTACTTGTACATATGATTTGACAAAATAAAATATAAAATTTTGTCATTGCTTTGCATAAATCCTTAAAATATGAAGGGGTTCAAATTTAGAATCACACTTGTACTTAAAAAAATAAAAAAATGTATAATGAAATTACCTTAGTTTTCTTTTTGTGCAATTGTTTACACTGTTGTGAATAGTATTTGATATGGGGTAAAATATCAATTAAACTGCGCATTGCGCGATACAAAAGTTAGCTAGTATTGTACGAAAAGAAAGGGGATGGAAAAGGTTGTTGTCAAACAAAAATAACAAGAAACTCAAATAACCATTTATGAAGACTCCATTTTGAGTGATATTAACTACATTAGAAAATTGGCCATATTAAAATGCTAAAGTTATGTATATTTTTGGCATTGGAGGATTTAGGGTGGGGGCCATGGCCCCCACTGGTCCCACCCTAAGCCTTTATTATATAGATTTAATTTTTTTAAAAAATATAATTATAATTTTTCTTATATGTGTGTTAAGATTTACTTTGATAGTTGGACTCAAATTGTGTTTTCTATTTCATTTTTTTTTTAATTT